CCACCTCCGGGGCCACACCCTCGGAGGGGCCGGGGTAGTCCTGGAATGTGGGTCCTCGGAAGTCTGGGAGTTCCGCTGCTGGCCAGGGCCGACACCAGTAAGTGGCAAAGTCAGAGAGGTTCTTTCGGATAAAAGCTTTTTTTCTTTGGTTATGAAAGCAATACAAGCTCTTCGAAGTAAAACTGAAAAAAAAAAAAAATTCCACCCCAGGGATAATTTTCTCTTTCCTACCAAGATATACGTTTGACAAAAATGGCTTCACACTGTTTTGTAGTATGCTTACATTTTATAGATGTTTTCCCGTGCCACCGAAATACTGTTCCAAAACAATTGTATTGGCTGCATATTTCAAAATAGAGAATGACCATAAATAATTTCTCCAACCCTCATTGTTCAACATTTTATACACCCAGGTCTTCAGATGCCAAGTCCATCACAATTAATATGGGCTCCCTTCCTCTAGTCCTTGTTCCGGTGTAATACAAATCAGACGCCGGAATGATCTTCCTCTGATGCTATTTTCAACCGTCAACTAAATCTTTGGTGGTGGCTTTGCCTTGGGTGCCAAATCTCTCAAGAATTACCTTGGACTCCCCTCTTTCTTTACACTCCCTCCTCCCCCCAATATTTAATCAGGCCCCTTGTCCTGGTTTTTTTTAACCCCTCTCCAAACAAGCTTTTAAATCTGTCATTCCCCCACTTGATTAGATCCCTACCCAGTTTATTGTAGTTCCTAACTATAATAATCTCTTTTCTGGGAAGGGGAGAAAGAAAAAAGGGAAAGAAAATTAATAATTATCAGTCATTTATTATATGCCAGGCACATCATCTTATTTAATCTTTCCAATAACTCTGAGGTAAGCAATACTATTGGCATTTAAATGATGAAATTGAAGCTCAGAGAAGTTAAGGACCATGTCCAAGTGGTAGAGCCAGGATTCATAACAGGTCTATCTGCCACCCAAAGGTCATATTCTTGTACCAGTCCAGTGTTTCTCAACTGCTTTTTCATTATCCCCCCCCCAGGAGAAAATTTTGCATTACTAATTAAATGTAAATTCTAATGTGAGAAATTAAATACTAAGGAATAAGATTTGGTCAAGTAGGGTTGAGCTTTGAAGGCCACATACCACTGTATTATCTAAGATTTTTTTTCACCCCTTAATCATTTTTCACTCCACTGGGGTATCACCCTGGTGAGAATGTGTGTAATAAGCCAGTGCTGGAGGTCCCAATCTACCAATGTGAGGCTCGTATCTGACCCTTAATTTTATAGACCTGTGAGATAAATATAAAAGAAAAACAGAACTATGCAAGTGGAAATCTAGTACTCACTCCATTGCCTGTATTGGAAGGGTTATTCAGCAGCTTCTCTTGGAATGTCTGAAACACATCTCCAATTTCACAAGTTTCACACTGAACTCTTTATCCTTTCCCCCTCCCCCTAAAACACCCTGCTCCTCTATTTTCCCAATTGTAAAATACAAACCTAGAAGTCTTCCTTGGTTTTGCTCTTTGCCTAACACCCCTATATCTAATCCTTCAGCAGGTCTTCTCGCCTCTGGTTTCAAAATATATCTGAATCCAACCACTTCTCATCACTACCACCCTGGTCCAAGTTTCTACCCTCTCCTGGATGACTGCCCTACCTCCTAACCCGTTACTCCTTTCCTCTGTGGTCACCTGAAAAATGATTCTCTACACAGCAGCCAAAGCGATCCTTGTAAAATGTAATTCAGATGCCACCGTCCTGCTATTAAGCCTCCAATGGCTTCCCGTTGCACTTAGAATAAAACCCAAACTCTTTGTCATGGCCTTTCGGGCTCAAGAGGAGCTGGCCCTGCCATCCTCTCCTACCTCATCTCTACCTCTCTCCCATGATCACTCTTCCAGCCACACTGCCTTCTTACCACATTTTGGGCCTACCAAGCTCAGGACCTTTGCACTTGCCATTTGTTCTACCTGGAATGCTCTTCCCCAAAGTGTTCCCATGGCTAATTCCTGCATTTTATTCAGGTCTTTGCTCAAACGTCAACTCTTTTGAGTTTCTAAGCACCCCATCCAAAAGAGCCTCTCTCCTCTCCATCATTCTTTATTCTGCCTTATTTTTCTTCACAGTGACTAAAATTGTATTTTACTTGTCTTTCCTCTAACTACAATGAACATAAAGCTGTGTGGCAGCAGGCATTTTGTCCTGTTCACTGCCTTACCCTATCACCAGCACTTAGAATAGTGCCTCACACATAGTAGAGAACCACAGTACAACCACATAAGTCTTTAGCTGAAAAGAGCCTTATGACTTTCCTTCCTTCTAGTAACTGCTTCCTTTCCATTATGTCTCTTAACAGCCATCTCAAACATTCCCATGCTGAAGTTACCATACTAGACTTTCTTCTGAGCTCCCAAGACATCATCCTCTAGCCTCCCATAGGCACCTCAAATTCTACAGGTCCAAACTGAATTCATCTTTTTCCTCCATAGTTCCGTATTTCCTCTGCCATCTTCAGTTTCACAAGTTGGCCCTGTGAACTCTCGACCTTGGAGAACTCTTCCTCTCCATTTCCCTCCTCCCACAGCTAACCTTGACCATGTCACCAATCTGTCCATTCCTCTCCCACCCTCAGCTCCACCATCCTAGTTCAAACCCAGTATAACAGTGTCTGCTTACATCACAGGGTGATCTTTCTAAAACGGACACCTGATCCTGTCATGCTCTGCTTAAAAACTTTACAGTTTCCTATGGCCCTTAGGATAAGTCAAATATGTGAATGGAGTTAAGAAGGCCCTTCAGGACTCAGGCTATGCCTCTCCAGCCACAAGCTTTTCCATGTCCCACCTCTGCCAACCCCATCACTCAAATTCTATGTTCTGGCCACACGGAACCACTGGAGTTCATCTCGCCTCTATACCTCTGCATCTGCTATTTTGTTTTAAACACTCTTCTCCTCCACTCTTCCCCCCACCCCCATTCTTTCAGGAAAGAACTAAGCCTGAACATCACTCCCTCCATGAAACCCTTCAGACAAATACAATTCTGGGTACCAGATCACCTAGTACTTTCTTCATCAAAGCACCTATCCCACTCTGTTGTAACTGCCTTTAAGGAAGTAAGCATAGAGACAGAAGCTGTCATTCAAATTGGTATGCCTAGCATTTTTCACAGTACAATTGAAAAACAAACATTTCATTTAAAAAACATTTTCCTTGGAACACTACATCAAAAACTAATGATGTAACGTATGGTGATTAAGATAACAATAAAAAATTATTTAAAAAAATAAAAAACATTTTCTTGAGTAAGTGAACCTCAACTGGGGATGTTAGTAGTTGAATGTAATCTCCACAAGTGTGCCCTTTTAGTTTATTTTTTTCTTTCTATATTGTTTCTCTCCTCACTCTTCATTTTCCCCATGTGAAGCCTCCCATCTGGGCCATGCCTTCTCAAGTCTGTTCCCCCGGTTTCACACTGAGTAGATGCCCCTGGTTAAGTACCTGAGTCATACCTGATCCCAAGGATCACAACCTGCCCCTAATGCTCAGGGCTTCAGGCAGCCTGATATACCAGCTGAACATTTTCCTTTTTTCTTTCAAGAGCATAGGGACACTTGGACACGAGATAGGGAATAATAAACATGAATGAATTCTTTTCAGGGATAGCTCAATGAATTTGGTATTAAACCAGAAAACAAGGGGTGCTTGGGTGGCTCAGTTGGTTAAGGGTCAGACTCTTGATTTTGGCTCAGGTCATGATCTCAGGGTCAAGACTGAGCCCTGTGTCAGGCTCCAAGCTGGGTGTGGAGCCTGCTTAAGATTCTCTTTCTCTCTCCCTCTGCCCGCCACCCCTGCTTATGGTGCATGCTCTCTGAAAAAAAAAAAAGAAAAGAAAAAACCAACAAAGCTACCACCTGATTTGATGAAAATTCTTTTTTTTTTTTAAGATTTTCTTTATTTTTATTTGAGAAGAAAGAGTGAGCATGAGTGGGGGGTGGGGGCAGAGGGAGAAGCAGACTCCCCACTGCGCAGGGAGCCCAATGCAAGGCTCAATCATCAGTTCAGATCATGACCTGAACTGAAGGCAGACACTTAACCAACTGAGCCACCCAGGTGCCCCTAATGAAAGTCCTTTTAATTCAGAGGTAAAGAATATATTCAGATCACTAGTTCAACCAGTTATTTCATCTACATTATTAGGGAATGATGTCTACCTCAGAGAAATGTTTACAACCATGATATTTTACATATTATTGACATTAATAGGGAAAAATTGCTTTTCATTTAGAAATTCCATTTCTATAAATTTATCCTAAGGAACACTAGGCAAGTGAGCAAAGGTAATGTTCATTACAGCATCCAGGATACATTGTGAAATGAAAAAAAAACAACTTATAAAGCAGAAATGTAGAAGGTGATCACATTTCAGTTTTAAAAAATGTTCATTCATACTTAGTGGGGGTGGGGGAAAGGCCAACATTTATTGAGCACTTACCATTGCCAGGCACTGTTTTAAGTGCTTAATGTATGTTAACTTACTTACTTGTTAAAATAGTCCTACAATATAGGTACTATTGTCCTCATTTTATAGACGAGGAAATAGGTGCAAAGAGGTTAAATTTTTGTCCAAGGTTGCTGGCAATTGGCAGAGTTGAAATCTGTTCCCCAGCAGATTGGTTCCACGGAGTAAAATACTACAGAGTAGATTGTTAATGGTGGTTATATCTTAGGAGGAAGGGGGTAGGGAATCCCCCCATTTGAGGGTCACTTATTCATTCAAAAAACACAGACCTCTTTCACATGGACAAAAGAAAGACAAAAAGAGGAAAAGCAAAAACTACTATCCTGTTCAGCGTCTGGGGAGGGCATAAGGGGGAGAAAGCGGTTCCGGGCAAGACTAGCGTGGTATCTATCATAACATTCGCTCTTGCCAGACTTACTGGCTCATTTATTTCCTCTTCAGAATGGCTCCAGAGGAGTCCCCAGGGATTCAAATAAAAGTCTACAAGTTGGGGTTTCTTCGAGTGTGAAGTTTTATTGACTGTTGTGCTGTAAGTTTCAGAGAGTAAAACAAAACCATACAAAACAAAGAGTAACTCAGGCCATGGCTGAATTTCCATTGTGGGCTGGAAGCAGAGCCTTCATGGTTCCTGTTCGATTTAGCTGGGGCCTCTGGCAGAGGGAAGGTGGCTACATACCACATGAACGCTTCTTGTGAGAGTCAAGGTTATGGACGGAACCTGTCACAAATACTCCCATCCCATGGAAAGGTCACTTGAAAGTGAGCTGAAGCCAGCTGCAAAGCATTGAATGATTTTGTCTGCTAAGACAATGACCAAAGATAAGGCCAAGCCAAGACCAGATCTCATTCTTTGGAGTTTAAGGTATGCCTGATTCCTGGCCTCTCACCGGCTGTCGCCCTAGCTGGACAATAATGTGACTAGTTTTCTTTTTTTAAAAATGTTTCCCCTGATAAAATATATGATTATAGAAAATAAAACTCAGTGATAATATCACCACCCAGAGATAACCAGTTTTGAGATTCTGATACACTTCCTTCTAGTCTTTTTCTTTTAGAGTTCATAAAGTATGACTATATTTTTAAAATTTGGACCATATTATACACATAGCTTTACATCTTTGTTTTCCACTTTACATTGTAAACATTTCCTGACATAAAATATTCTTCAAAAAATAATTTTTAGTGGCAGAATGCATATCCTCTCTACTTAACTATTCAGTTAAACAGTTACTTAACTATTTAACCTATGTAGCTAAGGGTCTCTTTAGCAGACCTAGAGGCAGAACAGGTCCAAATAAGGCTTCATTTCTGCTTTTCCCATATTAGCCACAGGAAAGACTGCAAGGCACCACCAGGGGTCAGTGCAGAGCCATTCAAAGCCTTGCTGTAAGAAAACTGGTTACACAAAAATCCTTATTAGCAAATCCTATCTATTAATCAGAGGACTATTCACATGAATAGCCAAGTTCCCTTCCAGAGCAGACTCTCCTGGTGTAGATTTCTCAGATCAGAAATTATCAGATTCTTCCAAATTATAATTATATTCAACATTTACAAAACAGCTATTTTTATAAACCAAGGTCTATCAACGTAAGGTGTAGTATGAGACCTCTTCTCACCTGCTTGGCTATGAGACCATTTGTGCATAAAATACTTGGCCTGATTATTTTATAGGTTTGCTGTGAAAATAAAATAAATAACATGTAAAAGTATCTTATAAATTACAAAGCAGTACTTAAACTTTAAAGTGCACTATTTGGATGAGTTATCTCCTTTAAAAACTAAAGAATGTGGGGCACCTGGGTGGCTCAGTTGGTTAAGCATCCAACTCTTGATTTCAGCTCAGGTCATAATCTCAGGGTTGTAAGATCGAGCCCTGCCTTGGGCTCAGCGCTGAGTGTGGAGCCTGCTTGGGATTCTCTCTCTCCCTCTGCTCCTCCCCCTGCTCGCTCGCTCACAAATAAATAAATCTTAAAAAAAAAAACTAAAGAATGCCAGGTGGTATCATGATTATGAAATTAGGTATAAGAGATATGCTTTGGCATTTCGTGGGTTATTTCATTGGTTTTTCTTTCCTTAGCCTTTGCTCTCCAACTGTTAAAGTCATCATGGAATTAGTAATCTGTTTTTCCCAGAAGCTGAATATTTATAGCCAGCCAATTTGGTTTTTGTTCTCCTCATTTACCTGAAGCTCCTTCAGGAAAATTACTCCGACCTCAGAACTGGCTTACACGACTTATGAGTAGGTGAATAACAGGGATCAAAAAGCCATTTCTCACCCAGCCTTTGGAATATAGACATACATACTTCTGAAGGAGAATATGTAGCTACCACCAGGCAAGGGAAAAATCCAAACATATCTCCATCCCCTTCTTTCTGCCCTGATTGCAGTTTAGTGGATGCAAAGACGTTGCTCATCATTTAAGATTCCAGTCTTGGTGCTACATTGTAAGACCTGGACATCATATGGCTCTAGAAGGGAAAAATGGGACAAAGGGCCCCTTCTCCACCTGATGAACAAGTCTTCTGGGTCCTGCCTAGTACAGAACGAATTAAGGGAGAATAAATGATCAAAAAGCCACTCCAGGCCTGACGTGTGACGGGCCCCGGCACAGGTGACTGGCACTCCTGGTCTCTCTAAACCCAAAAGTGACACTTAGGAGCCAAAGGTATGAAGGGTCCTCTTTCCCAGCTGGCCAGGCTCTGACTCAGTCCTTCACCCTCCTTCTACTCTCATTTCCTCTCCAGTTCCCAGTGCCGCATCATTTGGCAGCAGGGATGAAAAGGAGCTAGGGTGGGCATTCTGGCGATCAAGTAGCTTTCAAAGCCAGCTTGGCGTAGCCTTTCCTGAGAGCAGTCCAATCTGCTGACAGGTCTGCTCTGACCAATCTCAGAACACATGGGGCCTGTGTGAAGCAGGGCCTGGGAGTCCCTTATCATTGGCACTTGATTTCCTACTGTGTTAGAGCCTTAAGCTGTCTGGCGAAGGAGGGCACAGAGGCCACAAGAAGAGAACACGGACACGTGCACAGCAGTTCACACTGCCCTAGGGTAGTTGCAGCAGACGGCAGTCTTGTGTCTGACCTCTGAGGTCCTATGTCTTAGAGCAGGATCTAACGGCACCAACTAAACAGCTTGTGCTCCTGGTTAAGTACAGTTCCTGATACACAGGTATTTTGACAAATACTATCTGCATGATTAATGACAGGCTTAGGCCACCAGACCAGCATTAGAGTACAGAGTGGTGCCTGTAGAGAGCTACATTTCTCTGGTCGAAAAAAAAAAAAAAAAAAAAAAAAAGGCCTGGGACTGGAGTAGTGGAACTCAACCTATAGACTTCAAAGGAAGTCAAGAGCATCCCCACAGCTGGACAAAAACCCAGGAAACTCAAGAGTCACACAACAGGAGTATAGCAACTCAGATCAGTTACATTATTTAAGAGCAATTTCTAGTACAAAGGCCCTCAGGGCACTTGCCATGCCCACAAGGGACAACTTACTAAGATCAGGGAGTCTGGTTAGCTGGCTGGCTCCACCCTGTACCCAGGAGGGCTCTGAGACACCAGCAGAGCTGACAAAGAGGCCCCACAGAGATGGTGATTCCCTTGGCCAAAAAGCTGCAGGTCTTGGTTTTATGCCTCCTAACCTGCTAGGCCTCCAATCTGCTTCAGTCTCAGAGTCGCTGCAGAAGCCTGTGCTCCAGAATGAGCTGCAAGTTGCCTAGGAAGGCCTCCGGGGGCACACAGAGCCTGGTTACTCAATGTTGTCATAGACCTGGATCACGTCCTCATGGCTGCCAAGAGCCTGGATGAGAAGGGCGGCCTGCTCCAGGTCGGGGTCAGCCAGCTGCACCTTTGCATTGGGGATGAATTCTAGTGAACAGGACACCGAATACAAGCCCAGGGAGTCCAGCTTCTTCCTCACTTGATGCAGTGAAGAGGCATCACAAATAAACTAGGGACAAAAGAAAGTCAAGAGGTGAGGGGCCAGGAGATAGCAGAATAAAGCCAGTCAGAACTTTGCAAAACCTGAATGGAACTACTGTATGAATCACTGTGTTTAAGTTCTTACTAGC